GAATAGACCTTACCAGGGAGGCTTAAGAGTGTGACCCCACTGTAATTGGAGCACACCCTCCGGTCCCCCTTTAAACAGGTGGACCACCACCCCAGTCTGCAAACACTGAAATTCAGTGAGAAATCCATTTATTATTTCAGTTTAACCTAAAATGGTCTTGTACAATATAACAGAGTGTAATATAACAGTGAGGTAGTAAATACAGTATTGTTAGATGAACAGAAGCAGACAGTAATACTGAGCAGTCGAACTGATTTTAGTTTGAATAAACAAAGAGAAATTTTGCATTTTGATGTCAAGAGAACAAATATTCAGAAAAGCAGAAGTAAATTTAATTTGAAACCAAATTTCCACCATGRATATCAAAAATGTTTTAGAATAACTGCCTTTTCAAAATAAAAGAGTTTGTGGATTTGCGTGCTGAATAACACAGAAGTACTGTATACAACTTAACAAAATACTTAAATTATCTCTTTAAAGACACCACTTATAGCCAAAGACTGAATGTTTTTCGGAAATATTACCAGTGTTACTATAATTTCTCTCTAGAGATCTTCCAAGAGAGAATATGATCATGACAAAACCTTAAGTGGTAAAATGTCTTAAATCCACCTGTTATAGGTTGAATGATATAACGTGTTGGTTTAAGAACATTAATCATGTTCTGCGTCCTTTGGTATATTGAGCTCCAAGATTATTTAGAAACAGGCAGTTAGAGAATTGAGATTTGCTCTGCTGTATGCTGAACATATAACAACCAAACATAGTCATGAATTTTACAACGCCTGGTCAGGCAATAGTTCAGCTAATCACAAGACATTTACTTGATACAGTAACCAGCTTGTCAGTCCTTTAAAAGCTGCGTTCACACAGCTTGCAGTTGTGAAAATACAAAACACCTAAGGAGTTTTCTGAAACTAAAACTGGGTTAATAACAAGTGGATGCACTAATCAAACAATAATGCTTAATTGAATTTATTGAGGAAACCGTGTGTGTGTGTGTGCGTGTGTGTGTGTGTGTGTGTGTGTGTGTGTGCGTTGGACATTTTTTTCAGTGTGTTGTTGCAAAAAGGGTTAATATGAAAAATTGGATTTTCTATTGAAGTCGTTCAGAGACAAGGGATATCCGTGTTGTTTAATTACATCTATATGAAGATGTTGCCACTCTTACCATCTAATGTCTTCATTTTTGTTTTTTATTGAAATGAAGAAAAGGTCATTTTTGTCGATATTGTAATTACTGAAACAGACACGCACGTATGTGTCCGTCCTGTCCTTGAATGTTTGACAAGGAAGGATCACAGAGGGAAAATGAAGTAATTAAATGAAGTGAAACTAGTTTGGCGTCTTCTAAGAGTGACCCTGTTCTTTAATGATCTAGCATTCAGCACTTGTAAGCTTGTCGCTGCTTTGAGGAAACAACCATCTAATTAATTTCAGACTTTTTATTTTTTTTCTAATGAGGAGGATAATTAAAGCAGTCGCAAACATCTTGATCTATTCCCTTTAGCTTTCCTAATGACTGGATGTGTCTTTTTGTCTCTCTCTGTTGTGCAGTCTGCAATCAAAGGCTTGGCGATGGGAGGCCTGGAGGTAGTATCGATCACTGACAACACCCCCCTGCCGCACAATGGATGCCGCCCACGTAAAGCCAGGAGGTTGTGATGTCTGAGTACCGGAGTGCTTTGAAGAAGCTGTTAACTCGTCGTATGCTAATAAAGTATTTTTACGTGGAACTCCTGGCTCTGGGCTGACTTTATGTAATGCAGTTTTTGGGATGTAAGTGCAGGTGTTGCTCTTAACGAGCAAAGAGCAGATGTCTCGGCTCTCTGCCACCTGACACTTGTAGGTACTCTCATTGTTTGTTTATTACACAACAGCAGCATTGTGTAAAGAGCAATGAGCCGCTCAGAAACGTATTCAAACACAGAATACTTGGGTTTTTTTTTTTTTTAATACGTGGGAGTCTGGAAAAAAACAAAAGATTTTGTCTGCATATTTTGGTGAACAGATGAAGGAAATTGAACCTTGGATGATCAAGTGTTTAAAACATAGTTCCACATTTGCAGCATATTTATACATCTATGTTAAGCTTTGAAGCTGATCTGAGTATAAATGTAAAGAAAGGACGAATAAACTGTAGTTTCAAAGTATTTTTATTTAATAAGTTTGAGTTTTCTTTTTAACTTCTAGAATCTTTTTTTTTAGATGACATTTATTTTAAACTTTAAAAACAAATGTTCCAAAGCAGGACTTAAACTGATATTAAAAAATTATAATAAATGCTCTACACATTAGCCGGCAGCTTTCATTTTGTGCAAATGTTCCCCTCCACATTTACCATTCAGATGCTTAGTAATCATAAGGAAAAACTTAGTCATACCTGCTATAATGTGTTATCTATTTTGTCTAAAATCTGTAGGGCATGAAATGAGGCTGAAACATTAGGCACACAGACCATTACAGAACTCAGAGGTCTGACTCTGAAGCAGTGAAACAGCCTTTTGCCGTCCAGATGAAGTGATGCTGTCCTGCATCTATTCTGAAGGACACTGCAGCGCTCATGTAAAACACTGAAGTCCTCTTCTGCATTTTACAGTCGTTCTTTTTTTTCATGGAAGTGTACAGATTTGCAACGTAAGAGAACTCTTATGTAAACATGTTTATTGATGCAAAGAATTTTTTTATGATTGTTTTGCAACAGAGCAGCGGCAATTATTTTAATGGAAAACACTCATGACTGTTTCAAAGTGTTCAAGAATAAATTAAACTATTACTTGAGTTAAAGCCTTTAAAAAAACAGTAAGTTTTTTATGAGCTGATATTTGAAATAATTAATCTGCAATATTCCAAACAAAAACTGTTGCATGGAGTCATTACTTTTCAGTTTTCCTATAATGATGTTTTTTCTGTGCATCTTCAAGTCTAAAGACAAAAGATGATCACAAAATCTGAGAAATGCTGTTTGATCCAACTGTCTCTCTTGATAGTTTTTAAATCTCAGAGCAACACAATACATTCCCATAAAACCTCTTCGTAAATCCTCCCAACATGGAAAATGATGCACACTTGTTGGTGAAATGACTCGAAACTCATAATAAAATATAAACAGTACTAAAAATGGAGATTCTTATACACGCTAACTATACAAAAATACATTTTTATTTCAAAATGCAACAAAATCCTTTTTTACACAAACTTCAAAACATGGGATGGCCGATATGCTCCCACATTAACCACATACTCGAAAAGCAGACCGATACAACTAAATTGAAACCTTAAAAGTGCATCAATGTTTCAAAACAGCCACAAAACCTAAATAACCACTCCGGTTATATCATGAGAAATGTCTGCATGAGCTCTGCACACAGCAGGACGACACAGCAGCTCACAGCTGATGAAGACTACCAAAGAAGTGACGAGGTGCAAGGTGGCACATACCATGCTGGATTAATCAGAATCCCAGACTCCTTTGAGCCTTTTTCCCCTCATGTAAATGAACGTTTTAAGGATTTTCTCAAGTCTAGTGTTGTGAAGCTGAGAACAGTGAAGACGATAAGCTGATACGTGACTGATTCATGTTAGAGCGGCAGACCACACTAGACTCATTCAGTGTGCATCCAGGAAGCTTTACAAAGTACCTAAAACACGAGCAGGAGTTTCGTCAAAATCTCATCCGAGTGTCTCAGAAACTCAGCATCAGCTAGTGTTGATCTGGACTTGATAACGACGCAGAGCTACAGACTGCAGCACCGAGTGGACTGAGTGTGGATCAGAGTGGGCTGAAAACTACAGCAGACTTTGATGAACTCAAGTGTTTGGTGCTTTCTTTTAAATATTGCACTTAAAAAAAACGAATAAGACAAGTTAGAAAATTAAATCTTAGCAAAACAAGAAGAGTTTGTCCATCTAGCCCTCACATCAGGAGCTGTAAAGGGGAGCAGATGTTGGCACTGTCAGGTTAGAGCAGGAGTGGATGTGATGAACTGGTGGGAGTGTCTCAGAGGGTGGGCCGCCTCACTTCCCCTGGAGGTTGCTGAGCTCCATGTCCACCTTCCTCCGCTTCTGCTGGGCGAAGAGGGAGCTGAAGGGGTACAGCTTGGCTTTGGCCGGGTAGCGCTGGCCGGCTATGTCCACCTCGTAGTCGCCGCGGTTGATGAAGTCCGGGGTGATGGGCGTGGGGAGCCCTTCGGGCCCTGGCGGCGGGGACACGTAGCCCAGGCAGACGTGGCGCTCCARGGTGTAGCTGTACGCGCTGCTGGTGGTCGTCCCGGCCAGCTGAGCGTTGCGGAAGATCGGCTCGCCCCACCACGGCCACAGGTCCAGCTCCGTGTCGTGGTCCTCCAGGACCAGCATGATGAACCTCCGGAACACGCCTTCCTGGCGCTGCTGCAGCAACGCCTCGCGGCCGAGGAAATGAGTGTCCTGATGAAGAGGAGCACAGAGGGAGTAAACAAAACAGTGAGAGAAGGGGAAGTAAAACAAGAAAGAAGTGATGAATAAAAATGAACAAGGGGCAGAAACAAGAAAGGAACGTGAAGCTTTRTCTAAAAACAGCTCATGAAATCAGTGCTGAACTGTGGGACCCTTCTTATTTAAATTGCGCTGCTAAAAATAACAGCTGCAAGCAGCAGAAAACAGCTGGTATCTCACAATTATCACAATGAGACTRTTGCTAAACTTTGTAACTGCAGATATTAAAACTGCTGTGTGTTTACCTGAAGACAGGTGACAAATTTTCCCCTCCAACTCCCCAGAAAAAGACCACTTATAATCCAGACTGAGCAGGGTTCGACAAATCTTATTGCCCGACTGCCCGGGGCAGGTAAAACCCATTGTCGGGCAGGTGGGTGTATCCCAATTTCTGCCCGACTGGGC